TAAGTTGGAAAGTTTTTTAATTTTCCTTGAACGTTCTATAAATACCAAGGGCTACGCTTAACTCGGACATTCCCTAAGTTGTACTATTTATCTGTTCCCATTGAGAGTCCAACTTAACGGGATTTTACTGTATATTTGTGTGTGTATATATATATATATATATATATATATATATATATATATATATATATATATATATATATATATATATATATATATACATATATATATATATATATATATATATATATATATATATATATATATATATATATATATATATATATATATATATATATATATATATATATATATATATATATGTTAGATATATTTGTATAAACAGTTGAAGAATCATTTAACAACACTTTTTTATAATTTTATCATTTATTATTTAAACTGTTAACAGTTAATATCTTAAATATATCGTAACAAAATCTTTTGCGTCTTTTTCGTAACTGCACATTCCGGAATGCTCCTTCCGTAACGAACTATTTCGTAAGTATTCTTACGAAATTATATATATATATATATATATATATATATATATATATATATATATATATATATATATATATATATATATATATATATATATATATATATATATATATATATATATATATATATATATATATATATATATATATATATTATAAAGTTCAAAATCATCACCAACAAAATATTTTACCATTCACTCAAGATCATTAATTTTTTTATCTGAGAGCAAAAAACATGTTGAATAATTTTTTCAGAACTTTAACTTTTTGTTTATTCTTTCTCTACGAGGTACCTTTTACCAATCTTTCTTCAATTAACAGACCTAAGAACGATTTTTGAATTTAATATGAAAAAGTAGATGTTTTTTATGACAAATTAGTTTTACTTTTGCAAAAGACACTTTATGGAAACATAAAGACTTGGAAGCAAGTTTGAAGTTTTTGAAGTAATCTTTGTACATTTGTATGACTTTCAATTCTACTGCAGAAGTTTTTTCAATAGATAACAGCAATTTGAATAAGGTAGGAGAACTGTAAATCTCATAATGTCTTAATTTTTCTCAACCACACTATGCACAGTGTGAATATTTTGTAATGAACTATGACCAGGTTCACTATACTTCTGTTTAATGAGTGGTATTCCACTTTCATTTAGAAAAATTGAGCTCTTATTCTGGGGAGCACAAGAATCAGACAACAAAGTAATTTTTTTCTCTTTGGGGACCTTGGTTATCCACTTACATACTTTATTTACCATGTTATTAAAATTATAGTAAATTCTTTTTTCACTGATATCTTTAAGAATTTATTTAGAATGTAAAAATAATTATCTCATTAGAACTATTCGAGCACACGACGCCTTGTAATGAAATCTTTGTACACAAATATTTATATTTACTTTTCATTGTCAGGAGAAATGATACAAGAAGAAAAAGATAAATTAGTAGATTCTTTCGCTACATATCCAGGAGTCTCTTCGTCCATTTGGTGGTTAGGCTCCAACACTATTGGTATCGGATAATCAGCATAAAATACTCCATATTTGTTATAAAATATTCCATATTACTTATCTTTTCAAAAAAACGATATATATAAATATAAATACTGTTTAGTTCATCTGATTACGAATAATAATTTTTATTAACTGAACATTTTAATTCAATTCAAAGAAAATAAAAAACAATTCAATATTAAAAAAAAAAATGAATGTATTACTTTTTATTTATAAAAACATGTGTTAAAAAGTAAACTAGAGAGTATACGTAGTCACGTGAGCAAATAGAACGCTACTAATGGGCTACGCTAAGTACAACAAATTTATGTCGAACGACTCATAAAAAGTTTGAATTGATTCAATGATTTTTTTTTTTTTTTAAGCAAAGAGTTTTGTCATATATTAAAACTTACAATGAAATAAATCGTGTTAATAAGAGAATTGGAGCAAGCAGAAGACATAAATTGTCTTATCATCAAGCCCCATCATAAAATTTACACTAAAAAATTGTCAGTTAATATAAAAAATGAAGAGTAGCTAAGTACATAACAAAAATTTGAAATACGTTTGTTACAATATAACTAATGACATAATATAAATATTAGTGTTGAAATATAACGCATTATATCAAAGATTAACAATAATTTAAAAGTATTAAAATTTTTCAACAAAAAATTAAATTAGATTAAAATTGCAACAAAAGAGAAGTAGTGTCAATAACTATTTTTTTAGATAATTTATATTATTTGTGTATTATTTTTAAAAGAGATATTTTAAATCAAAGTCTTTTTGTAATAAGAGATTCTTAGATTCTTTTCTAAATTTTTCCAAAGAGATGTGTTGAACATTATTTTTTTTTTTTTGATAAATTTTGAAAAATGTTTCCATAGAAACGGTCCGCGGTATTGGATTTTGTAAGAGTTTAGTTTTGAATTAGTTTTTGTAACAATAAAGTTATTAATTGAAAATTTAGTAGGATACTTGTGCGAGATTTCACTAAAGTAAGACTGAAATACAATAGGAGAGAGTTCATGTTTAGTTTTAAAAATGAATCGTAGAACTTGGTGTATATTAAGTTTCACTTAGGGCACCGAGCTTCCTTAAAAGAGGTTCACATTGAAAAGTTCTGTGGGCACCAAATATAATCCTGCATGCATGTTTTTGCTTTCTATGAAGTTTTTTCAACTTAGCATAGTTAGTACTACCCCATACAATATTGCAGTAAGAGATAAAACAATGAATAAATGAAAAGTATATTTTTTTTAGAGAAGAGGTGTTAAGATATGATTTAGTTTTATATAATATATAAATATTTCTTGATATTTTATTTTCTATATATTTTATATGTGGTTTCCATGACAAATTTTCATCTATTATTACTCCTAGAAAATTAACTATTAGTTCCCTTTTAATAATTGTTTTATTGATCAGGAGATTGGGTAATTTTAGAGGAATATCATCACCTTTACTAGGTTTGGAAAATAAAATAAATTTAGTTTTTTCTACATTTAACGAAAGCCTATTGCTTGTAAACCAATTGTTTATTTTGAATAGTTCTTCATTAAATATATTAAAGAGAGCTTTTATATCTTTGTTGGAATAAAAAAGATTGGAGTCATCTGCAATGTAATATAATTACAATATAACATTTTTTAAGAGAGTTTACTGGAGTATGCATTCTGAGAGTTCTGTTAAGTCTTTGGGACAAGGGTGGGTTTGATTCAAGATTTCGTGTTACAGAACAAGTAGTGAAGAAGAAGCTTGAAAAATCTTATGAATGCTACAAGAAACTGTGTAGTTTTAGAACGCTTATGGAAATAAACAAGATCAAAGAAGAGCAATGTAAAAAAAAAACAAAAAATAGAGAATTTTATAAAAGAAGCAAACTGTTCTTTTCCTGTTTATAAAACAGACATCTTAAAACTTATAAGAGATAAAGAATAAAGACAAGCAAGCGAAGACAGAAGATATTAAGTTCCTGAAGCAAGCATTTAAAGGTGAAATGAGTTTTACACTGAGAAAAAAATCTTATCAAGAAAAAATCATAGACAGGGAAAAGCGAATGTTAGATATGATAGAAAGTATGCAAAGAAAAGAACAGTTGTCATTCATTTTGATACAAAACTGGTCAAACACTATCGAACTGAAAAAAAATTGTCTGAAACTGTAGAAAGGTTAGCTGTCAGTATATTATCACCCTAGGTCAATGAACCATTATAAAATTCTTTGTGAGCAAATAGTTATTTACCTTAGTGGCCATGTACCTGGTTTCCAGTTCAAACAACCAGATACCCACCATCAAGCAAGGTTCATGGCTGATTGTCTATACTTGCTTACAATGCAGCTGACTTCAAAGATTAATTTAAAGTTGAATAAAAGTGAGAAAGATATGCTTGAACTGTCAACTGACTTTATTGTCACATTTTATGGAGCATATTTTTTAAAGTCTCATCTGGCGGCCCAAGCTCCATTACATGATTTGTATGCTTATAAACTAGCTTTTAAAATGATGAGCAATAAGCTATATATATCCAAGTATGGTCCCCTGGAAAAGCTGCTCCATGCAAGCTTGGTGGTCACAGTTGGTACCTGACCCCACAGCTAGTTAATCTTTCAATAGCAAATAGACATTTGGAACCGAAGGAAAGAGCTGGACTAGCTCAGAAGCTGTTAGGTTTCAATTGTCCGCAACCTTATGATTTTGAAAGGGAACCTCACCCTACAACATATGTGGTTCCCATGTTAATTTCGTCCAACTTTATCACTAAGGAGTCCTGGCTGCTCTTTACATACCTAGGTATAAATACGGAAGTAATAAACACATGGATAAAGGTTAACTTTGAAAATGATTCAAAATACAGACATTTTCAACATCAAATGGAGAATCTAGTAGTAGTAAATGACAGAGCTGAGCGCCACATCAAACTTGTGTAGGATTTTGGGGTTTTTACCATGCAAGTTGTGCAAAAAAAAAAAAAAAAAAAAAAAAAAGGTTAAAAAAGACATTAAAAAAAGTGATTTTATGTAAATTTTATGAGTCTATTGGTCTCTAAATGATCAATGTGTATTAGCATTAACTGTTAAATGAAAGATTTTTTTTTCAGAACAAAAATAATTGAAAAATGGACAGTTTTCTACTGTTCAATCATAAATCCAGGGCACCAAAAAAGGTGAGGAGGGGCAAAAAATTCAATGCAACCTCGCATATGAAAATACCTCGTACTGGAACCCCTTGACTTGGAGACCTAAAATTTTTTTAGAGTGTCCTGCGACCAAATAAGAATGATTGAGATATGGTGCATTCAAAAATTGTTTGGACAGGTTAAAAGTGGGACACCCTAATCTACATGCTATTCAATATTGTCAGAATTTTATTGCCTTTAAATTATTAATCGAGACACGAGTCATCATGAATTAAAGCAGCTTTTTAAAGTTATTTAAAAAAACGCTTTAGTAAAGTGTTATTTTAAATAATCAAATGTAACTTTTTAAAAATCATTTATACATATTTCTAATAGTTTTTATTAAACTTACAGAATGTACGACAAATAATCATCTCAAAAAAAAATATTTATGTACAAGATTAAGCTAAATATAAAATTGTCACAAAAATTTGTCAAACATCGAAAATACGGCATCCCAAACGACGCATATGTAACTCATTAATGTATTTACTCTTGTGCAAATTGGTTTTTTATATTGCGTAATAGTTTATCAAAGGATCGCAAAGGATCTTCAATATTACTTCAACTTCAATACTACTTGCAATTGTTAACGACATTAACGCTACTAAAAATATAGTGTAGACATATAGTATAAACAAGTATAGAAAATATAGAAAGTATAGACATATAGTATAAACAA